CTATTGTGTTATCTCCTTCTGCTTGTAGCTTTTCAGGTTGCTGCTTAAGTCTGCACCTAAAGCTACTATTTTGGCACTGATTAATTAATTCCACGGCTGGGCCTTCACATATACCTGTACGGTATTGTTTTTTCATTACTGCTGGTCCACTGCGGCCTACACCTGGCACAGCAGCCACTCAGGCTGGCACAGCCATGTCTGTCTTCTCCCACCAGATCCTTCCAGACACACAGATATGGCAAAGCAATGGCTTCTCTTACCTGGGAGAAGCATATTTATAAGGTGTGGGAGCCCGGCCATGGCCCTCTAGGAGTTTGACATTTAAAAGGAAACTTCTTCACCTCTACACTCAAGGCATTGATACAATCTGTAACATTCTAGGACTCTGCTTGTTAAACTTGTTGCTGCATTGGAAGAAACTCAAGGAGACAGACATAGATCTGATGTTCTTTCCAAAGAGTTAGAAAATTCGGTCTTTGCATAAAAGATACAAATAGTTGCTTGGTGCTTCCTGTTGATGTGAACCTATAAAAGGAGCTGTTTCTGTGAAATAATAAATCAGACTTCTCTTGGTCTCCACTCAGGCTTCAGTGTTCTTTCCTTTCTCAATCCTCACTCCCCAACTCAGGTATGTTAGTGTTGTGATGGCTGGACCGCCACAATGGTTAGTGTTAGTCACAAATATTAAGCACAGTATATATAGGGTTATATCACTTTATAAGCTGCTTAAAATTTTGTTGGAAGGTGTATGAGGGGTGCTCTTAATGGCTGACATGTGTTGTAATAGTGTATAAGGTCAGGGGCCTGCAAATTCAGTTAAAGACCAAGTGAACCACAGAATACTGTAGTTATACCCAGCTAACTCAAGAGAGTGGTGGATCACTGCTTTGTGATTAGAGAATAACTGTCAGAGGCTCTTAACTTTTAGCTGTAGTTGTACTTCAGTTCTTGAAGAGTTTAAACTTTATGTGCTTTTAGGCATTGTGGAATCTTTTGAAGTGAAGAGTGAGGGTCCGGGCTGGGGGACTCCTGATTGAAGCTTTCCAACACTACAGAAAAGCAGACCAGGGAACAGCAGGCCCTGCTCTCCTTTCCCAGAGACAGACAGTTAACAGTGCTCTGCTGGGGAATTTTTAAACATGACGAGATGCATTTATTTATTGAGACTTTAAAATTTTTCCACTTTGATTCCTGTGGGGCTTTTCTTAAAATTGTTAAACTAATAATGCTGTGCATTAGAAATACAATGTGAGTCACATATGCCATTTAGAATGTAATAATCTAAAGAAGCAAGAAAGGAACATATTAATACTTTACTTGACTTAGTAAAGCTAAAATAGTACCTTTTAACATGTAACCAGCATAAATATTTGTGTGCTGTTGTGTGTTTCTTCCTGTCTTGGTCACATGTCCGTCTTGTGAGTGGAGGCTGGGGCCTCACACAGTCAGCAGTAGCTCTGACTCCAAGCAACATTCCAGCCCACCCAGCTTTGGGAGTAGTCAAATCTTCAAACACAGGTCTGCTTCTAAGTGTAGTCCTTACTTTATATTTACTAGGAGCACTTTTCAGTTTGGATGTATTTCATGGTTAAAGTGACATGTGCTACCAAAACAAGACTTTATTCCTTGGAAAAATATTTTATGTCGTTTTAAATGTTAAATTTCAAATTTAAAAATGTAATCTCTCATTCACACCACATTTGAAGTGCTCAATAGTCTATTCAAGTGTATGTCAGTTTCTGTCAGATAGGTAGGTCTTTTATGTGTGTGTTCCAGTGCATGGGTAAGCTCACATATCCTAACACAATAAAAAAAAATCCTGATGGGCCAGGGATTTAGCTCAGTGGTGCTGCTGCCTGCCTTGCAAGCATGAAGTCCTGAGTTGGATCCCTAGTATCCTCCCCCACAAAAAATTTCTGATAAATCAGTCTTGCTATGTAGTTCAGGCTGGCCTCAAACTCACTATGTCACCTAGGTTAGGCTTGAACTTGCAGCAACCTTTTCCCTCAGCCTCCCGAGTACTGGGATTATAGGTGCATGCTACTAGGTTTGACTTAAAGTACTGATTTAAAGACTTTTTTTTTCCCTGCCCCCAAAATAACCTTGAAACAAAAACACGCCAGGTGGGGTAGCACACATCTGTAATCCCAGCACTCAGGAGGCTAGGGCAGTAGGAACACCACAAGATCAAGGCCATCCTAGGTTAGTGAGTTCGAGGCCAGCCTGAAACTGCATAGCAAGCCCAGTTTTTTCTTTAGTTTTTTTTAAAAAAAACACTTGCTTTGCAAGCACAAGGTCCTGAGTTTGATCCCCAGTTACAAAACAGAACAAAAGTCTCTATTGAATTTTTAAAATATCATTTAATAGTTCTTACCCTGCTGGCAGGATATGAAATGCATATTTTTATTACTCAATAAGTTTTAACACAATGTTAGGAAAAAGGAATGAAAATGAATGTGACAGCTTTAAAATATGTATTGAAGTTTTTAAAAAATTTTTATTGCTTAAAGAATACAAACATCTTTTTTAAAAAGGGTCTCCTGTATAACATACAGTATAAATGGGCATTTAAAGGAATATCCCAGCGTTTGCCCTGGATGCTGCAAGGGTAGGGGGGCACATACAGATGCACTGTCTTTAAAAAGGGGCATCTTTTTTAAAAAAAGTATACTGTATTATTTTGTTTCAGACAAGTGACTTGAGAGAAGAAAAATTTCCACAGATGAAGATTGGTTCTGATTCTTTTGGATAATAGTTTAAACAATTTGACCCAAAGTTGGATTCCACTAGATCCCAAGTGTGTTGACTCAAGAGGTGAGAAAACAGAAATGAAGCACAACTGGCAGTTCCTTTTCAGTCATTACAACAGAGTATCTAGCATGACTTTCAGATGCGCAGTGTTCCTGACTGTGGTGAAGAACAGGCCTTCTCTTCCCACCCACCTAGCAGATCCTTGTGGTGACCATTTAAGCTCGGGGTCATGATGAACCAGATGAGCACTGAGTTTACTGAGTCTGCTGTGAGCTGTTTGGGGACCACTTTGCGATCACCTTTGAGTACACTGAAAGACACCTGCTGAAAATGCAGAGCTTCTTCTAGGTTAGCTATAGAAGTAGTGCACACTGTGGAGAAGAGTTGTTGGGGGATGCTAGAGGTCAGAAAGTAAATGCAAATCAAATGGAAATGCACTCAAAACTTTCACGTTCCTCTTCTCCAAAAGAATTTTCGTAAAGATGCTCACCATCTGAAAAGCCAATGGAATACGCTTATTAATGTGTGTACCACGATGTTTAACAAGGCATATTTTTAGAAGGCCACACAATCTTATACTTTGTAAGGGTTTGAAGTTTAAATTTCCATGCTTTTAAATAGCTTTTCATAATTCCGAATTTATAATAGTTTGAATTTTATGTGTCCTTGTTTATGAGAAGCAATACTTCATGATTTGATAATATTTGAAATTATTTTTAGTCTTTATTTGAACTATTGCTTGAGGACTGTAACTCATGACTTTCCTATTGAGAATCAAAAATCAGGATTCAGTAATAGGGACACAGATCTTAACTGTTTTTTTAAATCATGCACCACTTCGAAGTTTTTATTTTGCTCTACAGTAAGTGTGCTCCACAAAGATACAGAAATGCTTCTTTGGCTGCATTTCATGTTCTCTGAATGTTTGAATGGAACTTTGGAGAAACTTATTGATGTCACAGAATTGTAAACATACACACATAGCTCTAGGTTTGCTGTAAGGAATTCTGAAGGATCCATCTGTGTGAATGTAGTCATCATGGATTGTCAGCAGGATTACCGTGGGCTTGCTTGAAGGTACATATGTTGTAATTGATGGCATTTTTATAGAGTATAATTCTGCACCAGATGGGTCTTGGCCTTTATATGGGGGAGTTAGGATTCAAGTGTCAAGAGAATTTTATTATTGGGCCAGGGATTTTGCTCAGTGGTTCCGCTGCCTGCCCCATAAGTGTAAGGACCTGAGTTCGATCTCCGGTACCAAAATAAAAAACAGAAAAAAATAATTTTATTATTATCTTAGAAGGCAAAACCCTGGCCTGACCTCAGAAAGCAAAACTAAAGTCAAAGTTCCTTACTGTATGTGAGTTGTGTTTCTTGGAGAACAGATGCTCACATTCTTGTCATTTTGGATGTTATTTTCTTTAAAATAGTCGTGGTGAAATATTCTGACAGGTTATATAAGACAGTCTTTCTGCTTAAATGTCAGTCACATAGGTGCTTCCTGCATAGCATTCCATGATACATTAATTTTAGTCCCAGCATAATTCATACATTTCTTCTGGGAAGATTAGAAATATAAATCTTTTGTTGTTGTTATGTTTTTTTGAGACTGGATCTCACTATGTAGTTCTGGCTGGCCTTGAACTCACTACATAGTCCAGGTTGGCCTCAAACTTGTTGTGATCCTCTTGTCTCAGCCTCCCCAGTGCTGGGATTATGGGTGTGCACCCAGCCAGAAATACAAATCTAATACACAAACTTTTCCCCAAGATGGGAGGGTAAGTGGGTATCCTTTATAACTTCAGTAAAGCATTAAAGCATGGTTTTTAACCCAAAGAACCATTTCTTAGAAGGTAATATATGTGGAGAATTTTAAAGTTAAATTATCAATTTTATGCATTCCGTTTTGCATAAATTAATGTATCCAGATTTTTGGATGCCTGTTCATAATCCAAGTTTTATTCATTCATTTCAACTTTAGAAGAAAATACAGAATTAACAAAAAACTCTGGAACCTTCATGTGTTTAAAGAAAATTGCTACTATTTATTATCCTGGGATTTCATATAAAACAGGCACGCAGATCCTGTGTTCAGTCCTCCCATGCTAGCAGACACCAGAGGTGTGCAAGACACTGTCAGCCCTCAGAGAGTGGCAAGAGGGTTCCTCCCTCACTGCAGTGCAGATGTCAGCTATACTACAGGGAGACCTTCTTCAGCATGCCCACCTCCCTGCCTTGTGATCCAGTTTTTTTTGGGCTGCGGTGTACTGTCCTAACCCCTAAGCGCAAAGTCCAGAGCTTAGTCCCCAGCACTTGGTGTGTGGGAGGGGGATCCAAGTTCCTAGTTCCACAAAATTATGGATTATGGTAGGACATGGCTTTAGAATTATTCACAAGTTACATTAAAATTTGTAATGCCTAAGGCCCACTGGTCTGTCAAGATAAGATTACTAGTTGAACCTTAATATGGATTTTTAAAGCCGCTTTAGAACCACACAAAACCTGTGTGAGAGTGTTTAAATTGCCCCACTCCCCACCCCCGGGAGGATCTTTGGCTTTAATGTTAAATTTGTATAGTTTTGGTTTCATGGTACTTACAGACTAGCAGGTTTCCATTTCCAGACTTGCCTGTACTTTTTTTTAATGGTTCAGAATATTTGACCATTATGTTTATGTTAAGGTATCATTTATATATCCACAGAGAGCTGCTTGCTTTTGCTGAGTCAACTTAGAAATTAATTTACCATCTGGTCTTGATTGCAATGTATATAAAATGGAAAAACAAGTACATTATGACTTGAGGGTGTTTTGAGGTTAATGTTATTGCTCACTTGAATGTCAATTTAAAATAGTCCTCCACCACTGCAACTGAATGTTTGTCTGTATAAGCAACAGCATGGGTAGAAAAAGGCCCCACTTGGTGTACAGCCCAGGTTGTCTGTCATACAGTAGAGCGAGGAATTGCTTAGCCAGTGAGGATTTTCAAGGATGGACAATTGTTTGAAGTATAGTTACAGGCTTAATGAGTTTCTGCGCAGCATAAAAACAATTCTTTGGTTCTTCACTGTGGAACTGAAACATTCTGTAAAATGCAATTTTATGGGTCCCAGTAGGTGCAGTTATGAGCAAAGTGTGGTATTTCCATGGAAGAAATGCAGAGCCTTCCCCATTACAAGAGTACTGACATTTCCTCTCTGTTTGGGTTGGGTAGATCCTTGTTTCTATGAAGTTGACCTAGGATTTGGTACCACATAGCGCAGCCACACTGTATCATAAAAATGTGTTAAATGGTAAAGCATACTTCAGCCATTGTAGACACAAGAATTACAACTCTTGAATCAGGAACACAAACAGGCAGCATCCTTTCTATATGAAATGGGATCAGTATACAATTAATACACTTAATTTTATACATTCCCTGCGACCAGTTTCAAATTACATTTACTGAATGTGTTTGTATTAATTTAAATCAATGCTTTTAGCCTAAAGAAAGTCTTTTTTTTTTTTAATAAACACATAGGTTTTCGGCTTTATTATCTAAGTATTATGCACTTAACACCAGATACCAACCTGTAAAGTAGTACTATTGGGTCCTTTACTGGACCTGTCAGGGAGTTGAAATTTCTTACACTTTATCAGATTATTTGTTTAAAAAAGAAAAGAAAAAGAAATAAAAAACCAAACAACTGTAAAACATTTCAGAATACTGCAGACACCTTGTTAAAATGCAACCATTTGATAATGAAAGCAGAGACCTTTAGTTGCACTGAATATAAATATAAAGTGAATTGTAAACATTTTATTTCCCATTTACTGCTTAGCACAGAAAAAGAGCTATGCTTAGTGTTAGACTGAAAAAGCAGACTCACTTCAGATGGGGGCAAGAGGCAGAAGCACCTTAGCGTGAGCACTGTGCGTACTACGCAGGCTGCTGAGCAGCAAGGGAGGCGCTTTGATCCCTTCAGAGCACGTTAAGAGGAACTGCCTAATTGCTTTGTAAAATGAAGCAAGTGGTATTTTTTATTCTATAAAAAGTGTAACTTAAAAAGATTTTCCTGAAAAATGAGTTTATATTGTTGCCTAAACTATCATGTTTGTAAGCAGAGTTTTTTAAAGGTGGGGAAGAGGACTGTGTGTGTGTACACATTAAATGTTTGCCCATTTAATTATTTCAAGGATGCATTTATTCTAAAATTTTCTGTTTTTCCCAGTGACATTTGCATTTGTAGGATGTAATTCCAAATGTATACCTGTTTCCCTACTTCTGCAAACAATTACTATGCCACTGTAAAGGTGCATGTATGGAAAATACCTCTAAGATTGACCTATTAAAGAATTTATGGACATTAAATCACACTGAATCTCAAAGAAGTCATGTTTTGAGAGTTAGGGGAGGTTTGTTTTTGGGAGTTTTTGAAGATTAATTTACAACAAACTGACTCAGTTGGGGTGCTTGGGTGCACCGGAAAAATGAAAAGCGATGTTTAGTTGTAAAAACATATGGTGTTGGGTTAGAGTTCAGTTTTAACTGGGGCATTTTTTTTTAAAACTTGCATGTTGTATGGTTAACTATCAAAGAATGTACCTAGTTGTTCCAGCTTTCCCCAGCACTCATTACTTTTAAGAAGCCTCCACAATCACAAGGTGGCATATTCGAGATGGGTAGACAGTGCAACCCAGTGACCTCTGGTTTCTGTGGCTTTGTCAAAACCCCACTGGCTTGTGGGATTTCTCACTGTGCTGTGTGTCTTGCCAAACATGGAGCCCAGATATAGTTCAAGAAAAGTCAAAGGCCACAGGTCATTTTGCATGAATAAAGTCCCTTACAGCTAACAAAACTGACATGTTTCTAGCCATTCTGGGTACACGGAAATTATGCTGGCAAACTGATTCACCATTTTTAGCTTTGTGCAATATTATAAAGGTAGAAACACTAGCACATTGTGCTTGGCTTTATCGATGGCTTTCTCACCATGACATTAAATGGACAGTGTGCATAGTGGATTGTAAAGGCATTTTCTGCAGATTTTACAAGAAATAGGCTCAATTAACATTCTGAAGTATTAAAAGTACAAAGAAAACACTAAGCAAGCATTTATAGCAATACTAGGACATCTACAATAATTGTTTTGACTGTTGCCTTTTGCTCATTAGTGCAAATTTTCTTCATTGTTATTACCGCTTTGTATTTGTTTTTTAGACTCATGACTTCAGAGTTAAGTACTTGTACACCAAGTATTGCAATCACTTTTCTCTTATTATACATGCAATGTAATAACATACGGTTTTGGTGCTTAACAATATTCCTTTTGTTCTTTAATAAAGGATATTTATTTGAATTAACCTGGTTGTGCTTGTTTAAAATAGCATTATTGGTAGATATTCTAAGTAGCAGGCTCACAGCAGCTCTTGCTCTTTTGTAACAGTGTGGGACAGGACCCAGGGATTGTCACCCCTGTATTTTGCCTCTTCCTTAGCACTGTTTTTTACTAAGTATTTTAATGGAAGCTTTATTTGTGTTATTAACATCCTCATTCATTGTTGTTTGTGTAAATATCCACAAAGCTTGAAAATGCCAATTTCCAAAATCGGGAGATTTTTAAATACAGTAAAATTTTGGTTTGTGAGCACAATTCATTCTGGAAACATGCTTGTCATACAAAACACTTGTCTATCAAGGCAAATTTCCTGATTTGTTCCACAATCTAGACATAGTCATATAAAAATGACTGCAATACTGTAAAATGATAATACAGAAAATACAAAATACAGAGAAAGAAACTACCCTGCATTTAAATTGAAAACCTTTGTAGCTGGTGTGAGGGAGATAGAAAAGGAGGGTCACTGTATAAGATGACTTTATGTTTAACTATCAAATAATGTAACTACTTATTCCAGCTTTCCCCAGCACTCATTTTTAAGAAGCTTCCACAATCACAAAGAATTTTCAAGATGGGTAGACTGTGCAACCCAGTAACCTCTGGTTTCTGCACCTTGTGTCAAAACCCCACTGGCTCATGGGATTTCTCAATCACTAAAGGAAATCACGGCTGTCTACTGGCTCAGTGGAATCTTTTCATGAAACTTTAACGAGCTATCCAATGACACTTGCTTTTGTCTCTGAGGATTTTGGAGAAACGTGACACTGCATTGTTGTTAAACAGACAACAGACAACACACTGCTGTAGCCTTATTCAGGTGGTGCTTTCATACAAAACTTTTCACTATTTCCCATGTTTTACACATCTTCCTAATCTCACTTGAAATGGATTTCTCTGCCTTTTTCTTCACCTCTTCTGCAGATGAGATCTCCATAACCTCTTGCTGTTGGCACATGATCATCCACAATCCTACAGTGAGAAGAAAAACCATTGGTTCAGTTGTGGCCATGTGACATGAAGTGTCACATACTACTTGTATTACAAGACATCACTCATCAAGTTAAAATTTATTAGAAATGTTTGCTCATCTTGCAGAATGGGTTACAACCCAAAGTTTTAATTTACAATACTTTCAGTAGTCAATTTATGATTATCTAAATTGAGGGAGACCATGACATTCACACACGAAACTGACTGGATCTCAGCAGACACTGGCCATATCAGAATAAAACTAAGACAGCCGGGTGTGGTGGTGCACACCTGTAATCCCAGCACTCCGGGAGCCTGAGGCAGGAGGATTGCTGTGAGTTCGAGACCAGCTTGGGCTACTACAGAGTGAGTTCCAGGTCAGTCTCAACTACATAGTGAGACCCTGTCTCAAAAAACAAAACAAAAAGAACAACTCAGAAGCTTCTAGATGGACCATGTGATTAATTCTACCCAATGAAACAAACAGCAGTAATGTGGGTTTCTGCCTGAGACAGGTAAGCCTATGAAAATTAATCTTATTTCTGCCTCTGTGTGGAACTGGGGATTGAACCCAGGACCTTCCAGAAAGCTCTAATATGCTTCCTAGCAGTGACTGACTCACTGCTCTGGAGATGTATTTGCAAGCCAGCTTCATTTCAAGAATGTTCTCTGTACAAAATACCTGGTATTTCAACGGCCACCAAGGAGAAACTATGAAGAGTAAAAGGCACAGTACTGACCAAAAAAAACTTCCTAGTCACCAAGAATGGTCCATCTTAAACAAATACTTTTATTCTAATTTCACAAATGCAAATGAGAATGGAACTTGAACGTGGTCATTTCCACCACACATACGCTTTCAGAATTGCTGCTGAGCACTATGGTAATCCTAAAGCTTCTGGCTGATGCAATGGGGCCCAGCCCCTGCCTCACCACAGGTCAGAGCTAATGCCTCTCAGGGAGAATCCAACCCCAAGGTTGGGTTTAGAAAGAATGGATTTAGGGTCCAGGCTTAGGCTGGTACAGACCTCGGGTACTTACTCAGTATGTCCTGGGACCTGGACTGAAGCATGGAGGCTCCAGGAGGAGAGGTCTTGGCCCGGCTCTGGCTGTGTGAGCACAGACACTCACTTTGTTTCTGTCTGAATCTCCTTCTCCGAGACCTAAGTGGACAGAAACGTCTCACATTCCCTCTGGGACTCCTATCCTGTGACTCTGAGACACACCACATAAAACAGGCCATTCCAGTGGTCAGTGAGACAAGAATGTGCTGTATGGCCTTCTAGTTTCTGAAAAACAAAACTGAATGGAATCTATGTGAGGCCACCCCACTTCAGGCAGAGTAACAGATAACCCAGGTCTTGGGCTGGGCACACTGAAAATACCAGTGCTCCTACTGCCATCACCAGCTCCTCTCCAGGCTCAGAGGGCTCTTGGGGATTCACATGAGAGGCCTCCAGTCCAGGACCTCAATGAGTCTCCGAGGAAGTGCTCTGTTCTAGGGGCTTCATGCCAAACCATAAAGCTAGTTCTTTTCCTATAGACTCACAAAGTAAGTACTTAGAGGGCTGGGGATTTAGTTCAGTGGTGCCTGTCTCGCAAGCAGAAGGTCCCAAGTTTGATCCCTGGTACCAAAAAAGAAAAAAAGTAGGTAATTTAGAGGGTTGGGGTTGTCATTCAGTGGTAGAGGGCTTGGCTAGTATGCAGGAGACCCTGTGGTAGACCTTGAGGATACAACTTGATAAGATGGGACAGTCCTACACACCAGGGAGGAAACTCATCAGTGACACACAAAGCCTCCGACACAAAGAGGACCCTTCTGTGTGAACCTTTGGGGCTGCTTTCACTCAGTACAAGGAGATTCAAAGTGTGATGTCCTTTTTTATTGCTAAACAGTAAACCATTGTTTTTTGTGTATTTATTCATCCCTTAGTGGGGTGAATTAAGATTCACATGCAAGTCTTCATGTGGACATATATTTTTATTTTTCTTGAGTGAGTAGCTCCAAGTAGAATGGCTAGTTCACCTGGCCGACCTATTTAAAGACGGCTCACCTGTTTGAGACTGCTGGGCACATCTTTACCCTCAAAGAGAGAAACCTCAGTATCTCTATGGAGCCATTGTGTTAACTCTCTCTCCTCCTAATCTTTGAAATTGTAGGGATGGAAAAGAGGTTGTAACAGGTTATAGATCATTTATTTCCCTCATTTCCAGAGAAGGAAACTAGAGTCGGGAGGGGAAGGCACCTGCCCAAAACACTCAACAGGCTGTGTCAGGAATGGTGGCAGGCCACACAAGGAGGAACCTGCAGGATAAATACATGTGTGTGTATGGAAGGACCTGTGCCAGGGAATGCTTTGTGCTCATGGTACAATGCTCTGGCCATAAATGCTGTCACAAGTGGTAGTGACCCTGGTCATTTATATCGATGAAACGTCTTCACCTACAACCTGCTAGGAAAAAAGTAGTTTGTAGCCTTTGCTCTGCCAGGAGCCCAAATGCCCCAGAATGTTACTGACCTGTGGAGAGACCTCCCTTCTCCCCAAGGCCAGCACTGTTCACTTCAGGCTGGGCCAGAAAAGGAGCAAGCCCAGTGTCTGCTCTGGGGCCACTCACACATTATGGAATGTGGAACTGCTAGGACTGAGCTCCAAATTCATTCAAGTGGCTTCTGTGGAAATAATCTGTTCCCTTTGTGTTTTAATTTGCAATAAAAAATGAAAAACCTGTAGTTGACCACATCTTTTCTTATTCCAAAACACAAGCCTCAAAAATTCTAATTAATCAGATCTAGCCCAGGCATAGTGGCACGTATCTGTAATTTCAGAACTGGGGAGGCTGAGGCAGGCAGATTGCCATGAGTGCAAGGCCAGCCTAGGCTACATAGTGTGACCCTATCTCAAAAAAACTACAAAAAAAGAAATCTAATTAGAATGGAAATTCTAGTTAAAACTACTTCTATCCACATTCTTTTGTGAATGCTACGCAGAGCTCTTGGAGGACTATCTGTAAGGTCATCATTAGAAATGATAGGTAACCTCTTTTTAATGCATGACATCTGAAGCTGGAGATGGCAATATTGATTACACCCAAAGCAGTCTGCAAGCAGTTCAGGCTGTAAAGAGTTAACCCCACAATCGGCTTGTTTATGGAAGTGAATCCAAACAAAACCTACAAGCTGAGGTCTGAGTAACTTGGACTGAAATTCCATTCCCACAACTAAAACCTTCTTACTAGAAGGACAATATTCTAATTACAACCATATACTTTGTCTATTCCTAATTTGAGAATATTTTGTCTTGTCTTTTATGAGCCTTGCTACATTAATTTCCATAGAAACCACACGACTGCACATCCTCACACGTAGTTCTGCCTTTGCAAAAGCTTGCTTTTACTCCAAATGATTACTAGTATGAGACTGCAACCTACTGCAAAGGTTTCTAGTAACATTTCAGGGGTTTCCAGTATTTTAAGCATTACAGTCAGGTGAGTTGGAAAATAAATATTTTGAGGAAAAAAAAACATGACCTCAATAACGTTCACTTTCATTCCTCTGAGGAAAAACAGGAGTGCGAGGTTGGGAACATGGCTCAGTGGTAGAGCACTTGCCTTGCATGTGCCAGGTCGTGGGTTTCACCCCCCAGCACAGCAAAAATAAAACCCAACAGGGCCAGGGATTTAGCTCAATGGTACCATGTCTGCCTCACAAGTGCAAGGTTCTGTCTGAGTTTGATCCCTAGTACAAAAAACAAAACAACAAACCATTAGGAGAATGTGTGATATGAAAAGAATGGTTTGGCTAATTCTTGGAATAACTCAACCAAGTGAAAAGAATGGGAATGAAATTAAAACTTGTGGCTCTGCTGTCTGGTAGGGGACGGTGAGCACTGTGAGGGCCTGGCCCACCAGCTGCTGACCAGGTCCTGGGCAGCTGAGGCAGAGGAGGGTGGCATGTTGTGTGCCCTTTGTTCTTTGAGGAGGTGGCACCCTGGGGTCTCTGGGAGAAATTGGTCTCAACAGTGTCTCTCACTAGCTCAGCCTTAACCAGGGGGAAGCCTCGTCTCTGGTTAGTGATGCAAAAGCAGACTCTGGCCTCTGTGCACGCTGCCCGAGAGCATCAAAACTGCACACCAGACAACAGGGCAGAGGGTGGTCATCCACAGTGATGAGCTCTTGCTTATGGTTTCTGAATAAAGCAAGAAGCTTGTGATCAGCTCTGACACTGGATGTAGACTAATGACTTGTGAGTGGCTACACTTCCAACCAGAATAATCTCAATGAAGCAGTTAAGAGGCCATAGAAGAGGGACGACATCACTGCACTTGGGTTTATCTTGCTTCTTTAAATGCCTTAAACATCATGCAATTGAATGGGGGAATTTCTGCTATTGATGTTGATATTCAGACAAACTCTGGGAAAAACTTTATCGAATTATTCCACAAAATAAACTGTAATTAATAAGTGAAGGCAGAGCCAGGCATGGTGGCGCACACCTGTAATCCCAGCACTTGGGAGGCTGAGGCAGGAGGATCACTGTGAGTTCGAGACCAGTCTGGGCTACACAGTGAGTTTCAGATCAGTCTCACTACATGGTGAGACCCTGTCTCAAAAAAAAAAAGTGAAGACAGAAGTTATAGGCCAACAGATGTATTTAGAAATAGCTTTTTAAAAAATAAAGTTATGATATCCTATTGTTTTTAATTAGCTATTTGCATTGGGCTAAATTTTAAAGAATTTGGAATAGCTTATAATAAAAGATAGGTACCATCAGAACCATATATAAGAGTTGTTGATCAGAAAGGAGCATGTTGGGGATTTAGCTCAGTGGTTCTGCCACCTGCCTCGCAAGCACAAGGTCCTGAGTTCAATCCCCAGTACAAAAAAAAAAAAAAAAAGAAAGAAATAGGAGCAGGAAAAAAGTAAACCAAGTCCAAGAGAAAGAAAAAACTGTAATTAAAACCAATGAGGAGCACTATGGTAACAGAGCCCCAAGCCTGGTCTTGGGCTTCCGAGCAGCCAGGGTGAGGAGGGAAGGATGACATCCCCACTGCCTGGATGGGAGCAGCACAGGCTGAGGAAGACCCCTAACCTGGCCTGAGCCTGGAAGGTAACCTGAGCTACAGACCTTATCTCAAAAGAGAAAGGGTAATACAGTGACAAGGATCCCAAGGGCGTGACAATGAAACACGCAGGACCCACGTGTGTGACCATGAGATGGCGAGGCTGCACCTGTCACCTCCACCCAGGCCCCGACAGGCAGAGTCCTGGCATCACCACACAATCAGAGAGTGGCTCAGGTTTGGATATGGGGTTCATGATTTCTGAATTAAGAAAAGATTTCACAAAGAATTGCAGTTTGAACCCTGAACTTCTGATAGCCGAATGATATTCATGTAGTATAAAATGATAATTAATTTGATCATGCAAGGCCTCTTTCCCAATCTTCTTAGGGTCACACTGCTGCTTCTCCACAGACTCATATCTCTCCTTCTTCGCTACCCACCATGCCCACTGGGCAGTTGCTGGGGCTCCTACTCACTTCTTGTCACTGTCTTATGGATTCCTTCTGCTTTCCACCAGTGACTCACGAATTTATTTCTCCAGTTTGTCCTTGGCCTAGGCTTCAGATCTGGACTCCTGGAGAAGCCTTCAGACCCCACTCAGCCAGCCCAGCAGCCTGGAAACCCCACCAGCCACCACATCCTACGGGGCAGGGACACTTTCTCAGGCCCCAACTCAGGATGCAAAGAATGTAATCTTGTTCTTCTACATTTTATTCTAAAATACATTATTCTGCCAGGTAGAGGAAGCATGGCTTTTGTCAACTTGAGACAAACTCATCCAGGGCAGAGCTCCTCTGGCAGACCTCCTGGGGTCCCCTCCACCTTCCGTGTCCATGTGTGGGTTGCTGGGAGGCGTCTGGCTCTGCCTGGACTGGGCCCTTCCTCTTCAGCACACACTGAGATGTCCAGTCTGGTCCTGGCTTTACCCAGGTGACCCATTCAGACACGCAACTGGCCACCTCCTTCCACCTGTGGCTTGGCTGGGCAGGGACTCCCTGGTGCTCCCTGTGTCATATGAGGGGTTTGCCCTGGCTGCAGGGACCTCTAGGTCAGACTGCACCCTAAGCCATGCTGTCCCCAGGTCTTCCTGCCTGGCCCTGAGGACTCGCTCCTCATCCCCCCAGGTGATGGCTCCTGCTGTCCCTTTCCACATCTTGCTCATAAGTGGGCTGTCACTTCAAACATCTCTGTTGAGGTAGGAAACTAAGAAGTAGAGTTGCCCTTGTCATTACCACAACCCAATCCTAATGGCCAAGGGACAGCAACATTTGTGATGCTGCCTAATTTGGGGAAGGGGGAGAGAGAAAGGAACAGCACATAGTAGGAAAGTAGATTCTAAAAATTCAAACTGTTTGCCCATCACAGACCTCTTGAACATTGCTCATATTTATTTCAGCTGTTCTCTCTCCCTCTCCCTACCCCCACTTTCTCTCTCTGGTTTGTTTTTGAGACAGGGTCTCTCTATGCAGCCTAGGCTGGCCTCAAACACAGTGATTCTCCTGCCTCAGCCTCCCAAGGGCTGGGAGCACAGGCATGCAACACCACCCTGGCTAGTTCAGCTGTTCTTCATAATTTCCAGGTTTCTTTTATCTGAATTGCTATACTTTTTAAAAAAAGTGTCTTCCCAAATCTGGTCTCACATTGCCTTTAAGTCATTCTTGGTTTTGTAGTCAGTGACCCAGTCAGTCTAGCTGTTACTCTCAGTCTTGGTGGCTCTGGCCTGTCCCAGGTACAGCAGGACTCTGAGCACAACACAGCCCCCAGCAGAGAATCCACCCCTTCATCTGCTCTCTTCCCCAGACTGGGTCGCAGATGTACAAGAGTTTGGATGTGTGGCCAGGATCCTGCAATTGAACTCTCACAGTGGACACTGCCTCGCTGCTCACCTCCCGGCCCACACAATCTTCCTGTGTGCACCCAGCTGTGTTGTGGGACTGCAGGAGTGCAGGAGAGGGGTGCTCATCGGAGGAGATGCCAACCATCAGGCAACCAGAGGCTCCAAACAAGGAGGCACTGTCCGGATGTACCAGTTTTAAGCCATTTCTCTAGTTTTTCTTTCTGCTTTGTCTTGCTTCTTCCTTACTTTGAAGACTATAAAGTGCAGCAGTGTGGGGTGTGAACTGTCCAACATCCTCCTCATGGTGTCCAGCATGCTCAGCTGGTCAGATGGTGACACTGTATAACAGCTGTTGGACCAAGTCACTAAGCACAGGTCACAATTTATACATGGAAGTCAGGTGTGGTGGCGCATACCTGTAATCCCAACATTTGGGAGGCTGAGGCAGGAAGGATCACTGTGAATCTGAGGCCAGCCTGGGCTACACAGCAAGACCCTGTCTCAAAAAATCCAACCAACCAAACAAAATTTCTACATTATGTCCTCTGTTCTACAACAGGAAGCATGTTCAGTCAGACAACATGTTTACCGAACAAGACTATGTCAAAAGCATGGTGCCAGATGTTGCTTGTTAAGAAAGTTTCCGCAAGGCTAGATGAAACTTTTCAGTATTTGTTTTCAAGAACATTTATTCATCCAGAGTTTGTTCTCCCCAATGATTAAGGGGACAGAGAAGCATTGAGACATTTTAGAAAATGGTTACTAATATCTTGAATATTCCTAGCACTTAACAAGTAACCTCAGGTTGGGGAGAAGCGAGTAAGTAAAAAAGGAAAGAAAAAACCATGGAAATATTTAAATTATAATATAGCCACAAAGTGGTACATTCTGGAATTAAAAGGAATAAGAGACAGACCTGCACTGCCAACTCGGATAGAACTTTCAAACAGCTTAAGTATGAAAAGAAAACTGCAGAACAAAACATACCGTATAATTTAAATTATGCCCCCAACTAAGTGTTTAGATACATGCCTACAAATATATAAAATGCTTCCTTTACCTGTATTAGTAAAAACATGTACGAGAAAAAAGTACATTAAACTTTTTTCCTTAAAAAAAAAAAAAAGAGAAGTAGGAAGAGAAAAATTCATAACACCACTGTGAGATGGATCCCATTCCCTATTCAAAGGGCTGCAAGTGCTTCCAGCCCCAAGGCCCCGTGGCTGCTCCTTAGACCCATCCACTGGCTCAAGAAAGGCAGGGGTCCACTTCCCAACAGGCCAACCAGAACTCTGGCTGTACATCTGCCTCCAGTGGTCACGCAGAGGCGCAGAGGGCAGTGAGCACTGCTGTGAGGAAGGCGATGCAACCACCCGCACACTGCAGAATCTGCTGCTCTGTGCTTTATGCTCTTGTTCCAAGTGCGGAAATTTCAATGCACAGAACATAGACTAAAGGAGACCAAGACTGAACACTAAATAGGATGAGGTTAGCCACAGTGGTTTAAAAGCTATCGTTTATTTGACAATCACAAGTAACTTATAAATTTCACGGATGTGTGGAGCCCGACGGGGACAGGCAGCCCCCTCCACAGAGTGCTGAGCAGCTGTCTGCTGCCTAGGCTGGGCGTCTCATCTGCTGGAGGATCTCACTCCAACTGTGATTTAGACCAAACGTTAAATACCACGCAGCAATCTAACCCACATACAAAGTCTTTTTTCTTATCATTGTTTGATGTAATTTCTACCCAAGATGATTTATATGCAGTTACCTGTTTACGCATCAGTAAGGGTAAGGATCATGTGAGATAATAAACTTGAAACTCTATAGCAATGGTAACATATTACCTGGCTCTAGTGATGAATTCAGCATCAAAATAATACATTTAAAGACGCACTTAGCACATTTCAGCATCGAAGACTTGACTCTGAGGAGAAGCTATGGAAAGAAAATGGTGCTGGTTAGCAATTTTTGTGGCTACATGTATCACCTCTGCCAAATCCAAGCCTCTCCCCTTTGGAATTCACTACTAAGTGCTTCCTAATTCCAGACATCCAGTTTATATTCCATTTATCATGTAATTGAGACAGCCTGCTGAGTATAGGATACTGTCTCCAAATTCTGCCTGAATCCAGCACTGTCTTTCCTGTTGCCCCAGCCACCAGTCTCTCAGTGAGGATTAGAGATTTGCATGCTGCCGGGTGTTGGGAAATGTTTTCTACCACTTCGTTTCTTTGTAACAACAAGAATCCCTCAATATTGCTCCATAATGTCTTGTACAAAGCCCCTCCCCTCCCGACTTATGAAGTCCCCACCCTTCCCTTTGCCTCCTCTTCACCCATCGTTTACCCCGTCCTGTGCTCCTGTGCACCAGCTATCCACTCTCACCTGTACACAGCAGCCTCTGACACTCTCTCATCTGTCACTGGGTCTCCAGCTCCTCCTTCTCCTGAGCCCAGACATGGCCCATGGCCCGCTGTGGCCTCTGGGAAAGCCCTCCTGGCCTTGGGCTGCCTGGGGCAGTGTGCGCTCGAATCACATGGGAGGTGACATCCTGCACTGAAGACTGATCCTTTTCTCCAGGGTCGCTGTCACTACTAATGGGGCCTGGGCCATAGCAAGTGCTTAGTGATTGAGTGACAGAAGAGTGAATGCCATGCAGAGCTCAGAGACAAGTGGGTCTTTATTAGTAACAAAATACTAGCCCATAGCTGGTACCTCACTCTACAAATCTAAATTCACATTAAAACCCAATTTTTTGGTGGCCTCAAAGTTAAGCAAGGACAAGCCTGTGATTCTACCTCTAAGTGAGGCTGAGGCAAAAGGATCACAAATTTGAGTCCTGCCCAGGGCAAATTAGTGAGACCTTGTCTCAAACTAACCACAGTATTATATACGGCACATGTGAAACCACTTATTTGGGGCTTTTGAAAGAAAAGTTTATTCCAGTGAATGGAGACTAAAATCAGGGAGATCCTAGCAGATAGCTGTGAAAAGCCGAGTTTATTACATCTGTGTGTGGATGAGCTGACATTAGGAGAAAGAAATAGGAGCAGCTAGCTGGGAGAGATTTCATTCGTGGGTGGATGGGCTAACACCAGGAGAGATTAGCAGGTAACTGGGAAAGGAATTAGGCTTATATAGTTATTGAAGGGGCTAAGAAATCTGGGGTGAAATGTTTATGATGGAGTCCAAGAACAGCACAGTTGTGTAGAAAACTGCGAGATTTTTTGGCACCACAGAAAATTGTGTACTTCATTTTGTGTCCATTTGTCCTATTTACTGAGAAGTTGCTGTTGTTTGCTGAAAGCAGCCTGTTTTGTTGGGTCTCTTCACTTAGGCCAGGCCTGACAGTAGAACTATCATATGGTCCAGCCATCCCACTCCTAGGTACTTACTGAACATAAACAATGCAGGGACTCAAACAGGTGTTTATACACAAGACCTCACAGCATTATTCGTAAAAGCCAGCTGGTGGATGTCTGTCCATCAACAGAAGAACAAAATACATATTCCATCCACACAATAGAATTTTATTTAGTCTCAAAAGGGTGGTTTTGTGTGTGCGCACACACACACATGCACACACTGGCAGCCAAACCCAGGGACTTGTACATACTAGGAAGTATTCTACCACTCAGCTACACCTCCAGCCTCCAAAGGAACTAACATTCTCCGGACATGCCATGAGCGGACTTGAAAACATGTTAAATGAAAAGCCAGTATAAAAGGCAAATATTGTCTGATCTTAAAAATAGTTAAAATGGCAAATTTCAGGTATATTTTATCATAAGGCTGATAATTTGATACATGAAAACACTGTGGGGGTCATTATAGCCCTGTGCCCAGAACAATACAGTTGCTTCAATAAAGCAAGAAATGTATAACTTAATGACAACAAGCACTGTAAACATCAAAGAATGCTAAAAATATTCAAGAGTGAACATGAAATATTTACTTAAGAACTGCTTCGCAGAAATTTCTGAGATCAAACAGGCAAGATGGAGGGGGCCACGATATCAAAACATGAGACCCCCACCTACCACCTGGATGGTACACTGGATGCCCAGGCCGACAATGACAGGAGCACGCAGGGGCCATCTTCTGAGACCTCTCCTTTCTAGCCCCCAAGGCCTCCCACAGGAACACAACCAGGAGGGCCACTAAATGTACAAACACATTAAGCACTTGCACAGTGCCCATCACGAAGCCGACCCTCCCCGAATCCTCCCTGCTGCTCTGCATCACAGGGGAGTGGCAGGAAGAGCCTGCTTTCCAGCCCTGCTTTCCTCCAGAAGTGAGGCAGAAGTCACCAGGGCATGCCTACAAGTCAGTTTTAGGACAGTTAAAATTTACAGATGATCACAAAAATACTGATAGAAAAAAACTTTCATGAGACTTTTTTTGTGCTATCAAAATGACCTTAATTTTGCATCTACTTGGTAGCTATTACCTTGGTAGGGTGTTACGGGATAAAGCAGAATAGTATTTCTACCCTGAGTATATCTGACATGAAAATACCTGACAAAAGGTCAGAATCTAGGGTCAGAAGGTTGAGTACTGGTCATCTGGGTATCTTTTATTGTTTTATAAACCCTTATAAGTGACTAGTTCCTCCAAAAGTCACTGAAAATTATTAGGACAATCCCAACTCATTTAGTAAAAAGCAGCAGCAAAATGGATTTGTGGGGGAGCTCTTTGTGTTTCTCTAGCTATCCTGACACACCTTAAAAAAACTGATCATTGTGTTAATTTGCTGAATCTGCTGCCACAAAAAGTTCCCTCCCCATCTTTTTTTCTTTAAAAGAGATGAGGTCTCCTTATGTCACCCAGGCTGGTCTCCAACTCCTGGGCTCAAATAATGCTCCTGCCTCAGCCTCCCAAGCAGGGGGCACCAGGCACAAGCCCCTAGGCCTCACTTGAATCTCATCCACTGATCCAAAGTGCAGAAGAGCCCTACAGGGTGGGGGTTTGTGGCCTTCTGTTACAGTCCAAATGCATTTTTCTCCCTGGCTTACATTTTTAGTAAAAATGTGGGGTTTCTTTGGTGCTGGGAATTGAACCCAAAGCACTGGGCACATGAAGCACGCACCCTGCAGTGAACTGCACCCTCAGACCCTTAACATGTCCCCTAGGCAGAAATCATTAGGCAGTGCAATGCTGACTGTAATTTTCTTGGATAAAAAACTGTTATTTTACTAAACAATATATAAACAGAAAATGCAAAAATACTCAATTTTTTAGTAGTTGTATTTGTATGACATCTATGTTTCCTATAAAGAAAAACTATTATAAAGATTTAAGGTTCAATTAAGAGTTTTGTGAAATTTTAACTCATTTTTAAGGTGCTTTCTCCATTTTTCTTCCCCTTCCCTTTAAGTACTAAGGATTGAACTCAGGACCTTGTGCTTGCCAGGCAGGCAAGGTGCCACTGAGCTACATCCCCACCTTGTCTCCAATTCTGTAGAGAGCTGATTCAATTCTAAGTAGCCTGGACTCTTTATGCTTATAAGGTTTTAAAATTTGTTTTATTAATTTTTTTGTTTTATTAATTTTATAAGAATATTAGGAAAAGGGCTTGGGATTTAGCTCAGTGGTTCTACTGCCTGTGTTGCAAGCACAAGGACCCGAGTTCGATCTCTGGTACTCAAAAACAAAACAAACAAAAAAACAAGAATATTAGGAATAAATAGGCTGTCACAATTTAAAGTAAGCTGAATGATGCATGTTTCCATTCCAAGATGATCCTTTTTTAATGTTTTCTAAATCTTCTGAACAAATGCTTAGTACTGCTAAAGTTACTGCAGTGTCCTTATTTCTTTTTTGAGTCAGGGTCTCACTATGTAGTTCAGGCTGGCCCCAACTCACAGCATTCCTCCTGCCTCAGCCTCCAGAGTACTAGGATTACAGGAGTGCACCATCATACCCAGCTACAGTGTACTAATACAGAGATTTAAAAAAAAATGTAATCTCAACTACTTCTTACCTCCAAGTTTACTTTAAGATTTTATGCAAATTAACTTACCTCAAGAATGATAAAGGAACAATGCTATATGTATCTTTAAGCATAATATTTTAGGAAGTTAAAATCATTTTATATCAAATAAGTGAAAGGATTAAATAGCCAATGCACCCCTGCTGCCTGCTCTCATTGTAGTACTGACAGAAAATAAGGACTACAAGGAAAGAGTTGCTGAAGTATATACTCCAGAGCTAAATAAAACATGGAAGACAAACACATACATATTAAAGAATAAATTTTGTTTTTGAGACAGGGTCTTGCCGTGTAGATCAGGCAGGCCTCGAACTCACTCTGTACACCAACCTGGCCTCAAACTGTGATTGTCGTGCCTCAGCCTCCCGAGTGCTGGGATTACAGCTCTAAGACACCACACCTAATTTTAACAAGGCAAAGAGATCAGTTTTGACATGTAGTTGTGTTGGTTTGATTTTAAATGTTTCTTTTAGTTCTGGCTGAAAATCAAAACAAAATCCCACAAGCTTTTTCTCTAACTGCCTCCCAAAAGTACAGTGACAACAGAACCTGAAGCCTATGACAGTGCTGGGGTCCTCCACAGGAACAGGGACAGGGAAGGTGCAGCTCAGCAAGCATCTCTTAGCTGAGCGGGCGGGGGGAGAAGAGAGCGACAAAGGGAGAAAGGAGGGAGAAAGGGAGAAAGGAGAGAAGAGAAAAAGAGAATAAAGAAGAATAAAAACTAATTTTCCAGCCAGGGAAATACTTATAAAACCTTTTATGTCAAAGATAGGATTTCACAACATAATACACTAATGCAAAATCCAGTAGCACCTGAAAGATTTAAGTAAATGCTGCCATCACTTAAATGTTCTTAAATATCTGTGAAAGACTGAAGGAAAAAAAGATGAAGTACATTCTCCAGAGAACAACAAATGTATTTCAAAATAAAAACTGTATTTTT